ACTGCGGACTGCCAGGCAGCCAAAAAGCACCTGTACATGAGTGGACTCAAACCTACATGCAGTTTGGTTGCCACACTTCCAAATGAAAAAGAAAGAAAGAAACACAAAAGCTAACAAGATAAACAAAACCTTACATCCTGATGACATTGTGCCAAACTTGTGCAAGTTTTAGTGTGGTAACAAAAGACATTCTAAACTTTTATCAAAATATATAGTATAACATTTAAATAGAACTTACAGCCTTTTAAGAGTGCAGTTGACTGAAGACAGCTCAAGTCTTAGATGAGGCATGGTTGCTTTGGAAAACCAGTTGATTTCAAGGAGGTTTAACTTAAAGTAAATTTGTTTTTTTCATAACTCACTTAGGACTGTGTTACAAAGTCATCAGAAACATAAAACTGATAATATGTATCATTGTTTTGAATTAGGTTTCTACTTTGGATGGTGTTTTAGAAGTTCGAAATGAGCATTTCTGGACACTGGGATTTGGCTCTCTGGTGTGTATTTTTCCCCAGTAATGACTATTTTTCTTTAAATACTAAGTAACAACCACTGCTTTAATAACATAGCTTGACAAATAAAATCCAATGGTTTTTCATGTTTATAGATGTTACTTTATGCAGTAAATTCATTTTCTCTTCCCCCCCCCACCCGAGCTAACAGCCTGTATGAGCTTTACCTGAGGGAAACTGATGAGTTTATTTTTCATGTTCTTTCTAGGCTGGATCAGTTCATGTGAGAATTCGAAGAGATGCCAATGAACAAATGGTGCTTGCCCATGTGACCAACCGGTTGTATACATTAGTGTCTACTTTGACTGTTCAAATTTTCAAAGATGACTGGATCAGGCCTACCTTGGCCACTGGACCTATTCAAAACAATATGCTAAACCTTTCAGATCATCACATCATTCCAATGCCACCTCTAAAGGCTGCAGAATACTCTAACCCTGCTACATCCACTCCAGCCAAACCAAGCAGCCCACCTCCTGAATTCTCTTTTAATACACCTGGCAAAAATATGAACCCAGTAATTCTCATGAATCCTCAGACAAGGCCCTATGGACTAGGTTTGAGCCGTGGAACTGTACCTTACAGCGGTGTCTTCACTCAAGGGGTTGGAGTGCCGGGAATGGGAGCAACCCAGGGATTCAGGACTGGCTTAATAAATGCCCCCTACAGATATGGAACTGGCACACGAGGTCAGTTCAGACCCTAATAAAATATTTCTACTATTTATTGTTTGAATTTATTTTTTCATCTGTTTTATTGTTCATGTTCTGCAAAACTTCAATTTTTATAGATAACTGGGATCAAATATTTCCAACAATCATGAAAACTCATGGTTTCTTTTAATCCTTGATGTGATTATTGACCTCTAATTGTAAAGCTATAGCTTTACAAGCATTGACCTTACCTGTATTTTTATTGCATTTTTCCTAAATCAGCACAGCATAATATATGAATGGAGCTCCAGAAAATATGATTCCTTGAAGGGGTGCAATTCTGTACCATTTTAAAACCTGATTATTAAAAGAATGTTATCTATTAACAAACTCTTCATTTTTCCCTGGTACTTCAGTAATTGCAATCACTTTCCTTAGTTAAAGAAATGAGTGATATAAAAATGACCTACTGGAGGGTCAGCAGATACACCTGAAAGTCACTCATTTTAAGGGAGGTACTGAAGCAGTTGGTGTGAGCTTGAGTGGGCTCCGGGGGATGGTGGAAGACAGGAAGGCCTGGAGGAATGTTGTCCATGGGGTCGCGATGGGTCGGACACGACTTTGCGACTAACAACAACCAACAGTGCGTGAGGAGGGGAAGGGGGTATTGTTAATTGTTCTCCAGTTGCCGCTATTTCAGATTACAGATTACTTTTTATTTGGTCTTCTGCATTGACACAGATATGATTGTTAACATCATTGGAAAAGTTCAGAGGAACATTTTGAATGAAGAATGGATGCTTTGAGGTATTAGTATCCTGATGTTTGTGAAAGCACTGATTGTGACATCAGTCCTCAGTGGTTTTTAGTATTACTTCTAATTGGCATTTGAGAGGCTTAAATAGGAAGGCTAGCTCATACTTGGTCAGAACAATAGATCAGCTCCTCTCGTTTTCATTGACAAAGGCAAGTAGGTGAATAAAGTGCATTTTAAAATGTCCACTAATAAGTATTTGTGATGCTTCTCTTCGGTACTGTGGCCCATTCAAAGATGTCTGCCACATCCTTGCAGTGTATGTGATGGCTACTTTCTCCTCACTGACACCTTACCTGCTAGGTAAGATAACTCTAGGCTAGTGATGGTCACCAGCAGAAACTTTACTCTTCAATGAGAAATGAGAGTCTTGCTGACTCTGGCTGTAAGCACACTGACTGAGAGCAATGGTCACTGCTGTGGTAAGGAACGTGGAATCTCTTTCCCACCTCTCGAGTCGTCTTAAAACTAAGGTCAGCAATTTATATTCCACCTCTGTGTCAAAGGCCCCTCGTTTAAAGGAGATGGCAGTACATGAAAGTTTGTTTCCTAGTGTTTCATTGGCCATATGTAGTTTTCCTTTTGTGGCTAGTAGGCAGTTGCCAGGTCTATTTCCATTGTGAGACCTGTACATTCATTTGTAACTTGATCCACTGTTCTGGTACCAGAGCTGTGCACATTCTCCTTGGTCCTGCAGTGATTTGGCCCCTTGACCAGAAAGAGATCCATGCCATGCCAAAGCCCCAGTAGTCTATGGGCAGCTACCCATAGGGATGACCTGCGTAATTGGGCAGATAAAAGTGAAAATGCATTCCTTAAGGCCTTATTCTGCTTGATGAAGAGTTCTTTAACTTTAAAACTTGTATTCTTCCAAGCCAATTACCCCTCCTCTAGTCTGTTCTAGCTGGCAGAATTGTTTTTGTATTTATAGTGACTTTGTTTTTAAGAGAGGAACCAGATGTGATCATTGTTAATGATTTTACCTGAAAGAAGTTTTTTTCCTTATTTTGTTGTGTATTTTTTATTTTATTTATTTATTAAAACATTTTTATGCCGCCCCATTCGCTGAAGCCTCATATGTGTGGAATCCCATTAACTCTAGTGTCTTTGTAGCCACAGGAGTAGGAAAGTAATTCTATTGGAACAGTGTGGGGACTGGAACAGCATGGGATAAGGGATGCCTCTTGTTAGTGGCAATGCTGTAGCTCATGGAACAGGTCCAGGCTCGATCCTTGATGTGTCCGTAGCGTTCTTATTTGTAAGCTCAAAATGGAATGTCAGTTATTATCAGCACTAGTTTGTTCTCTGGTATGTTAGTTCTTTGTTTAAATGTTAATGCTAAGTACTATTCAAATATTTGGACTGCTGGATTGTACATGGGTTTGTATATTGTTTTGCCATGAATTGTAAGATTTTAATCTTTGTGAACCTCCCAGTGAGCTTTGGCTATTGGGCAGCATAGGAATTTCTTTTTAATACATGCAGATCTAAAGGTGGTACTGAGAAAGACCTCTATATGAACAGCTGGAGAGCTTCTGAGAGTTGGTGTAGGCAGTGCTCAGCTGGATGGTCCATTGATCTGACCTCCTGCATGCCATGCGTGTGCTCTGCCTCTGAGTCACAGGCCATTTGGAACACATGTGCCTGGCAGTTTAAAGATTCTTCTTAAATGAATATACTCCTGATTTCAAAGTATAGTGAAGGGATTAAATCAGGTTAAGGATACCTAATTAAGTCGTACCTCTCGTATACTAAGGCCTGCATTTACAAGCATCTAATACCAGAGACAATGCTTGTGGAATTTAGGTCTTGGACTCAAATGTATGAACTGCCACCGTGGCACAGCAGTTTATAGGGTCAGGCACTAGGTTACCAAACAAGTCCCAGCACTGACCAATGGCTGCTATCTGCATGAGAGGGAAGGGAATGGATGAAGTATTATCAGGCACTTAATGGTGGGAGGGCTGGTGGGGTCAGAGGGTGAACTGGACCAGTCAGAGGATGTTGCTAAACTATGGCAGCCAAACCATTCTTCCTGTCTGCTAAGAATGCAGTTCAGCTTACAAGTAAAGTATATGCAGCAGAACCTTAGTTCTTTGGAAAATCATCACATATTTTGCTATTACTGGGCAAATTCAATAGCAGTGGGCTTCAAAAACTGCCATAGAGGCTGCTTTTGGCCCCTGGGCCCTGTGTCACCCACCTGTGTCAGCTGTATAGCAGGTTTATAAAACTGCAGTGAGCTAGTATCCCGTGGATGTATTGCAGGGTATAAAAATACAGCTTGAGAAAGTATTCATCCAAAAATAATAAATTCAGTAGCATTCAGTTTAAGCTATTGCCTCTCTCTGATTCACTTTCAAGCCTGAATTCCATTGTTGAATAATTGCCTAAAGTAGGAGTGCAGAAGCTCTTTCAGCTCAAAGGCCAAATAGCATCGGAGAAAAGATCTAGCAATGGTGGGGCTGAAGAAAAACATTAGTGGGACCAAACTAACAAGTAGCAAAATACCTACGCATACCAGCATACATAGCCTACTAAGCCTTAGAATTTCAAGCTTCTACAGTGGATGGTGAGTCTGCACAAAAGCTGGAACTGACCAAAGGATTGGTGATTTAGGGGAAAGGGGCAGGGAAACGGTTCATGGCTTCTGATCTGACCCGACTGGGCTTTGCAGTTCTGCACCCCTGGCCTAAAGAGAAAACAGGGATGAGCCTCACCAGGTGATCGTAGGGTCATGATCAGCAATGTCCTTTAATGCCAGGGCAATTTAAATGATGCCATTGCTTAACTTCAGGGCAATTTAAATAATGACATTATCATAAGTCATGGTGGTGCCTATAATTTCTCATCTTGTTTATACTTGTAACCTAGGCATAGGAAAGCCTGTTCTTGTTTTCTTAATACTCACAACTATGCTACTAGCTAGGACCAAGGCAACAAAAAGGTATACTGAAACCTCAGTCCTACTCATGATAGTCATCCCAGCAACAGACGGTCAGAAGAAATGATCCACAGCTGTGAGTTTCTCAGCATCTTTTAGTGCCTCATTGAAGTTGCATCGCAAGTCCTCCCAAAATGCTCAACCCTGGATTAAGGAAATTGTACTCTTAGTATTTTGGAAGAGAGGGTGGCAAGGCCAAACTAAGACTTCCCATGTACTTCTTCCTAAATGGAAAATGGTGGCATCTTTTTCTTTTACAAGAATTGCAATGAGTGGGCTTTCTTTCACCCTGTGTCACAAAGGCACAATTAGCTTTAAATCAGGAGTGGGTAACTTGTAGCCTTCCAGATGTTCTCAGACTGCAATTGCCATCAGCCTTAGCATAGCCAGTGATGAGGGTTGATAGGAATTGCAGTCCAGAAATACCGTTAAATTCTGTCATGTGTGCATTTTGAAGAGATAAATTTCAAACTTTTTGTAGTAACTCTATTTCAGTTTTAATTTATGGCAGTAGGGTTTTATTCCTTATAGCATCCAAAAGCCTTGGAGGCATCCAAAAAGAGACAGTGGCAACATTTAAAGCGAAAAAGCAGTTAGGTGGGTACCAAAAGTGCATTATTATAGGTTCAGATATTCCAGCACAAACACTTGCAGAATTTTGTTTAGGTTATCTACAGTGGCCTTGTCAAGATTTTCTTCATTGTCCTCCATAGTGTGCCACACTTGAGGGAAAGGAGATGGTATCAAGTGTAGGACTGGAACCCCTGGTGAAAAAGAACAAAGAATGCAGATATCAAACTTCTGGAGAGGGCTTGCCATAAGAGATGTTAGTTAATTTAAACAAATGTTGAATAATAGTTCAATAATCACTGGCTTATTTTGGAACATTTGTTGGCAAGGACTAAGACTTCCCATGTATTTCTTCCTAAATGGAAAAAGGTGGCATTTTTCCTTTTACAAGGGCAGAGAACAGCATAAATGACTACTTGCTTTAAAGTTAAATAACTATGTTAAAGTTCGATCATTTAAATTAATTGTATCCTTGAGACAGAAACATAAGTTAACAATTCCTTGTTAACAAGTAGATACAAGAAAGCTACCATATCACCAAAGAATCTTGTAGCATCTTGAAGGCAAAGATCTGTCATGGCACAAAAACAAATCTGATGCATTTAATGGTTGCCTAAGAGTGTAGGCATGTTTATCCTGAGCACATAGAAAATAATTTCATCCTCTCAAAAACTGCAGGGGATACTAGTTTACTAGTTGGCATCATACTGTGGAGAGCACAAATGTGCTAATAGCTGCTAATAATGCATTGGCATAGTGCTTTCAGTATAGCAGACAAACTTCTGAAGGACCAAACACTTTAAGTGCACTAGCATTCCTGAGGCCCGCATAATTGGCCCTGTTTAGATTATCTTTATCACCATTAGCAGTGTGTCCCATGAGAGTGGGCCATATCCACTTTGATAAGATCTTACTCAGCTGATTATGTATTCATGCTCTGCGTCACAACATGACATTCCTATTAGTACCTTCTACGTTGTTTGACCTTTTCGCCTCCCTTGTTTCAAACAACGAAAGAACCCCCCTTTCGCTTAATTTGGGGTATATATCTACTGACTTAGCTATTAAATTGGTGAGTCTTTCAAGTACCTCAAGGCTTTTTGATTTTTTGCATATTACTATGGCTGCTCTTCTGGAATTTGCCCCAAAGACACCACTAGTTAGAAAGAAAAGGGCAACTTTAAATATATTGGATAAAGGAAAACTATTCAACTGCTAGATGCTGACAACAGAAGGGAACCCAGACGTTCATATCCTGATCATTGCTGTGGTTTGGCAGCCATTCTTGTTATTGAAAATGGTGCATTCTCACAGCTGAGACAGTATACATTTCTGAGAGGCAGTTTGTTACCTTTCCCATTCTCACTAATTTCTGATTCTTCCACTTTCTCCTGAACCAGCAAAGCAAGGTCCAGACTCAGTTACATGAAAGAGGAAAATGTGTTTTTAACATGTCCGAACTGGGAGTCTGATGTTAGACAGCTGAGACTTAATTGACATTGTCAATGGGCCCATGCCAACTATTTGGTCATGCAACTCCAGCTTATAGCTTCCCGCTTGTATGACTTGTTTGCCACCATTCCTGGTCTATTACCAACTCACACTGAAGTAGTTGGTGATCACATACAAAATTGGAAGCATCTGCCTGAACTGTATGATGTACCTGATCTGTTTCCCACAAGCTGGGGCTACTATTGTTCAAAGGAAAAGGTTGTCCTAAGGTTGACAGTCCTGTGAACTGGTCCTAGAAAGGTTTATTAAATCATGACTCTTGTGATGCCCCAACAGATTAGCACTTTTCCTTCATTGTTTACAAAGTAGATTAATTTGTTGGTTGACAAATACAATTTCTAAGCCTGCATGTTGCTTACTTGCTATAGACAGCATATGCTCTTGTGTGCTACCTTGAAGACAACTAAACAATAGTTTTCATACCTCTTCTTAAAAATGGAACATGGTCGTCCTCAACTGGATGTCCTTGTAAGTCTCTCCGGAAATACTGCCTTTCAGAATGATGATTTTTTAGGAAACCCAAATCATGGAGATTTTTTTCTGTAGTTGTTTTAAGCAAACAAGAAAGGATAAGCAGAGAATGGTAATGTAATCACTTAAAAAAGCAACTAAGCCTGATAAAAGCAATTTAAAGCAGAAAATGTAGTTTTACACAATGAACTGGTATTACAAAAACAGTCTTATTTGCTATGATTGTGATTAAATGCATCCCTGTAAAGGACCTCAAATTTGTCGTCTTGGATAAAATATTTCTACATATTGAACGTGGTTAGCTGCTATTTTAGCAATTTACTACTTGGGTCTCTTGCATAGTTCTTTATTTTACAGTGCACTGTATGCTTTGATTGAACAAGAAAGAGGAAAATTTATGTAACTAGTTGCAATATCATTCTATATGACATATTCAGTAAAGATTTCTCCCAGGAGGAATAAAATGGGCATATCCAGATCTATAATGTAAAGTAAGGGGATTTTATGTCAAGGTTAACTCCAGTACATAGCACGAAAAGAATGCTTGAATTTCTGCTATGTGGGACTGCCATTGTTTTTTCAAAGTACGTTTTGCATAATTTATTCTTACCAATGGCTTCAAGTCTTCCAAACCATCGAGCTGTGTTCAGAAAATAATTGGGAAAGGTTGGATTCCGAGCACCAATTAAGTCCAGCAACACAAAAAGATCCTATGAGAAATTGATAAAAAGCCCTGTAAATGTCACTTTCAGGACCCTGTTAGGGACACTTATTTTAAGGAGCTGCTACAACAGATGCCAGCAATTCTAGACAAATTTTGTGAATATCCCACTTCAACTTGCATGGATGGACAGTGACAAGCTCATTGAGCTCATTCTGTCAGTGAACAGGCACAATCGAATTTCACCCCTTGGTCTTAACAGACCATTATCTTTACTCTTTAGTATTTTATCAAGCTTTCTCAAAAGACTCTTCCAAAATTGGCTTTATTAGTATAGTGCATTCCAGTTTCATCTGACTTGCTTTTATTATATAGGAAGGTCTCTGAGATTCTACTCTAAAAGCAGGACTATCACAGCCCTCTGACTTCAAGTAGCCCTAAGCATTTATTGATGAGCATAGAGACGATCTTCACAACGATGAGATCTAAAAGTAGGCATCAGCAGCAGCTGTTTTTAGATTCCTGTTGTAGCTGCCAAGATCCATTTCAGAAACCATATGGTACATCCTATGGTCTGATCAGAGCCCTCTGATTTTTCAGTTAATTCCCTGTTCATTCACTGACAGTTGCTCATAGAAGACCAAATAGCTGCTTACTACTAGACAAAATAGGTGTGATGCCTTGTGTTAACTTAGTAGGAGAGCTGAGGACATACTTGTCATTCATTAAAATCAAGAAGGCTTCAAAGTGTTTTTTCTGAGTTGGATGGTACCAAAGTTTGGATGATAGGTCCTAAGCAAAGACAGTAACAAGTCTATATTCCAGCTATTATTATTACATTACATTTCTATGCCACCCATAGCCAAAGCTCTCTGGTTGTTCACAACATTTAAGTCACCCATCCAGATTTCAACCAGGCCTGACCCTGCTTAGCTTAGATCCTGATTAGGCAGGATCATTTAACGACTAACACATTTTTATGTCTTTGCATCTTGTTCCATGAGCACTAATTTTTCCCGGTATTACTTTGGCAGCAATGAGAAATCAAGCCAATTGCTCCACGAGTTATTTTAAGCCACTCCCTTTCCCCTCATCTCCTTAAAGTTTTTGCTTACAATGCCCTGGATCTGGGTTGTATATGTGGCACCAGGTGGATGTGGTGTGGATGCCATTTTCTGGGCCAAGGACCGAGAACCATACAGAGAATCAGAGGGGGTCCATCGTACAAAGGCTTCTTCACCATCAAAGAAGATGAGCTTCAGGGAGAGATCTGGCCTGGCGCCTGAGCTGATTGTCTGTGAAATAAAAGAGGAAACAGATAGAATGTCAGTCCACATGCTATGGGCCAAAAATAATGTGGAAACAACTGGAGAGGCAAATACCTTCAGAGGGTGAAGCTGTCTGTCTAGGGAACGTGCCAGTTCCAGCATCATGGCACAAGGTACAGCTGAATCAGTGGCACCAACAAAGACTTTGCCATCCAGCCGTGGTGGAAAGTATTTTGAATCGTAATGACAAGCGAGCACCAAATGACGCTTGGCGAGGGGATTGAGGGTGCCAATGATATTGGAAAAAGTGCGGTATCCATAAGGTGTGTGGCTCTGAAACGTGTCGTCTTCAACAACCCAGCCAGCCTGTAGTCCTTGTAAACGATGCTTGATATGCTGAAATACATATAGCCACAGGTTAAAGGAGAGGAAAATTACTCAAAACATGAACTAGAGAATGGCCTGAGCCATTCCTCACACATATTTTAATACTGGAATGCAAGCCCTTAATGATTTTCCTATCAACAATTCATTTTTCTTTTGAGACTTATTTCGGGCAAGTACACACCCTGTCTTGTATGGAGTAGAGGGAAGATGCTTTTTCCTGATTAGGGTTCTCTTTAAGAGGAACCACATTTTGGAGCGAGAAGCTGCAGGCCACTGGTAGTTAGATTCTGGAATTAAAGGCCTGACATCCATTCCCTCTGCAAGGTAATATGTATTACTTCACTTAGGGATCAATCCTGTGCATGTTTAGACAGGAAAAAATGGCCTACAGCGTCCCACATGTCCCTAGCTAGCCATGCTGCTTGGAGCATGCTGGGAGTTGTATGCCTTAAAAAATATATATACCTTTACTTGCTTCAAAATAGAAAAATCCAGCCCTGTTAATGCTTGTGGATCCTCCTACATGGTCTGCTTAATGTGGCACAGGACTTTTAGCCCAAAGACCTGCCTAGGCAGCACTAATGCTTCTACTCCTTCACGTCTTCCTCTTATTAAGTTACTGGCTGGTCGGGTTTTTTTTTTTTTTTTTAATGCGTGCTCTCTCTTGTATGCATGCACCCTAAACACAGCAATGTTTGCACCACATTCAAATCAAGAGTAAATCAGGACATCATCTCCAATCAATATACCAATTCCATTCCAGATCATGCTCCAACATTTAAGCAATTCTGCCTCACTGGGTTCATCAATAAGCTGTATCCACAGAAATTCCACAGAAAGTAAAAAGTCACAATGTATAATTCTGCTAAGCATTCTGCTAAAAATGCTGGATGGGTCCTGTGAAGAGCAAGGGCTGGAGAGCAAGATAGAAGAAGTATTGAAAAGGAAAGAAGCAGGGTTGGGAATAGAGATCGAGGGGGAGAACCTGAAATGTGAACAAGAGAAGACAAAACTGGCAGGGTTGGAAGGGGTGGAAGAGTGGTTTTCCATTTTTGTGCTCTGCAGTTTCTGAGGCTTTTTCTCCAAGAGGAAATCTGTAACTTCTCTTCCAAACCTCCAACAAAAGCAGACACCACTAGGAAGCTCCCCATATGTCCCAGCTCTCAATGCAACCAAGAGGTTCTGGACAGCTCTGAACAAGAGTACAGGTAGAGGGATGCATCTACTGGCTGTTTTCTCACACATTCTTCATGTTCCTAATCAACAAAGGCATAGAAGCAGTTAAAAGTGTGAGGGGGCAGAACTTCCCTCAGGCTGCAGTTCCAGCTGGAAATTAAAGGCAACCAAGTTCTGGACCCCAGCTGCAGGCACTTAATGATGTTTAATTGTCCCTCATTGAGGGCACACCTTTGGATGTTTCCTTAGCAATGTCTCATCTGTTTTAGAAGTGATCCCTGTGGCACATTAAATGTCATTGGGCTCTGAGTCTAAAGGGCTCTACAGAATTTTATGTAACATGTTGATACTTGTCAATAAGAAACATGCTGTCCAAATTAAAACTGATGTGACTGATTAAAGGCTAGTTATTTATTAGAAGGACACCGAGTACATCTTTGATGAAGTCAAATAAATGACCAAACAATCCAGCATTCAATGATTATGACATCATACGAGGCACAATTAAACCTCTGGCAATGAAGAAATGTAAAGGCCTCCCTGGTGTGTGTTTACTAGGCCAGAAGGCCCTGGTCATTCACCTCAAGTCCAACGTCCAGAGATGGTGTCTATACTCTGAAGTCAAGCAGGTTAAGACTTAGTTAGGTTTGGACTGAGGGCTCAGGTTGTACATCTCTCAGACTAATGAAGAACAGTGTGTAACTGTGACAAACATATAGTAAACCAGCATTAAAGTAAGGCAGGGAAACCAAGTCCACAATGCAGTGGAGGCTGGTACATGCCCATGGCTATCAGTGTCCTTGTGGTCAGTGCCACAAGAGATCTTTCCAAGCAGGAGACTATTTGGTAAGCCCTTGCAAATGTCTTGAGATGGACAAGGACTCTTTCTAGGAATGTTAACTTTCAGATATTTAGTTCTTCTCCCATAGCAGTAAAGATTCTAGCCTGAACATGCCCAGTGATTGCTGTGCCAGAGCTGTCACTGTTATGCTCTTTGCTTAGGCTCTCAGCCAGTAAATCTCCTAGGAAACGAGAAGTAGGAGCAATCAAAAAAGTGTGTATGCAGAGATAATCACACTTGCTTGTCACATTCCAGCTGCACTAAGAGCATCACCTCTGGCTCAGAGCCCTTCCAGGCCATCCATGAATGAATGCTCAACTGATGCTTGTGTTTCTATTTGATTACCGTGGACTGCAATTCTTCTCCTGGCTGAACATATGATTGCAATTGGCTATGATCTGTGAAGTCCTGAGTGAGGATGATGCAACTGTAACCTCCCCTCCATTAACTTTTGACTGTGTCATTAAAAAAAAGTATATTTTTCTCTGCAGCACATGCTTGTTAGAGTATATTAATTAGGCGTTCCTTCTCCCATCTGAACTGTCCTGTCATTTTAAGAAGACTTGCTAGCTGTGGACAGGCAGCCAGGCCAGTTCAGAGGATGAGCATTAACTCAGTGCTGGCTTTTTGAGGGAAGGCATCATTTTTAGGGCTTCATCACTCCTACAGCAAGACTATTCCTGTCCAGTCCAGTACAAGCCAGTGAGATCATTGCATTTCTGGTGTTGGATCAGTAGGGCTATGTGAGCCCCCTGTGAGCCCCCCATCTGATCTGGTAGCGTCAGGGACCCTCTGGAGCATATTTCTGGTGTGTGTGTGGGGGGGTGCAAGGTGGAAGACACTAAAGTCCACTTGAATGGCACTGGATTCAACACTTCTCAAAAGTAGATTCAGAAAGCCCCTACACAGCTGTGAATGCAGAGGGAGCATGTGGCTGGGTATTTAAACGTGCCATCCTGTGGAGTGGTTTACCGAGAACCAGTATGGGCCAGTATGGCTCAAACTGGGAGGTTGCTTGCAAATATACAGATTGTATTTGGAGCCTGCTCAGCCTTACCTGACGTACAGCGTAACTTCCAGGCGATCCTGGGTATCTCTCAATCAGTATTGGGTGCAAGTCATTTTGCCACATCCGATTGACATCAGTGTGCATAACCACTTGCCGAATTCTAGTTGCATTTAAAATGGTTGGGTGGTGAGTGTACTGTGGAAGGAATCAAAGGCAAACAGATGATAATGGGCTACCATAAGAAGTTTAGATTTATATGTATATTTTACATGTGACATCATGAAAGATATATTTATTCATTTTAAAATAACTATTTTCTATTGTTCTGTTAAAACAAGCATCCCAACTGACCAAAAATAGAAAGAAAATTATACTGCAAGATGTCTTTAGGAAGTCAGACACTCAGACCACGGAAATGCGTAAATATAAGCAAAGTCAGACTGCAACACTGCAGACAGTTGCCCCAGCTGCGATCCACCGTGACGCTCACATGTTTCCTCATACTGTGACCCACACAGCAGCAATGTGTGGACATCAAAGCTGTGTGTGGGATCAACTATGTGGGACCTGCCCTCCAGTCACCACCCTGCTGGGAGGAAAGGTATGCGTTGGAAGAGAAAGACCCACTCAACATGTGGGCCACCACAGCCCTGTGTGCAACGCCTACCAGTGTGTGTGGGGTGGATTCAGCATTGCCATGTATGCGGGCTCCTATTCAAGGATCGAAAGTCCAGCCGGTGCCCCAGGAAATGCATGCAGAACCGGAGACTCAGGGGTGAAATCGAGCCTTTTGGGGTTCCGCCAACGGCCACTCCCACTTCCTCTGACCCCACCCCTTCTCCCATTGATTGTTTGGTGGTTTCCCAACTTTTGTGCAGTATGTTCCTTATTCTGAAAGGTAGGAATCCCTCATGTACGGTGTAATTACTGGCCATAAGAACAATATGCATTTATGACACTCATATGCTGCGCCATAGCCTAAGGGCTGTCTGGATGGCTCAGAAAGAGTTAAAATATGCTATGCTAAAATATGCCTGCATTTTGGCCCTGCTCCCTTTTGCCTCTAGCCTTGTTCACCACAGGAATGTGGCTGCTGCCCCGCATCTCCTAGCCTCCAAGATGGACAGAGGGATGACTCTACACACTTGCTGCTGGAGTCCCATGTTATCTTGATGTTCTCATTTCTCTAATGTTGGTTTGCTCAGTTTAGTATTGGGCCTAAGTTATAATTTTCTTGAATTATGCTGAACTTTTAAGTGTTTGTTTCTAACAATAATCGAAAAATGCTTATTAAACATCAGGGCTTTCTGAAACAAACTAATATTAGTGTGCTTAAAAGCAATAGTTCTAAGAAGTAGACAACAACAACAACAACAACAACAACTCAGAATGAAAATAAATGTCCCCAAATATAGTAATGATCCAGAACATACACTTACTGAGTCCAGTCACTGTCATTATAAAATTACTATAATCATGATTTTGCTGAAGTTAACATCTTTGCAAGCACAACACAGTCCATATAATTTAGAATGGAACTGATCACTGACCAGAGCAGTCAAATTGATCCATAAGAGTCAAATACAGTAGCCTGACTCTATCTCCTTACTGTGTGTATTTGTGGACTTTGCAAAACAAAGGTGTTTTAATGGAGGGCAGAGGGTCAGAAAGTGCCTAATTTTTCTCCTGTTGGCCATCTGGCTCTTTAAAACTGCCTCATCCCACAAGCTGCTTTCTGTCCTGCAGGCAAAAATTGGCAGGCAGGGCAGCAAATTCTGTCCCCTTCCCACCCAAGTCAGGGTGCATAGCTCTCACAGCAAGTCAAGCTGTTTTCACCCATATGACAGAAAATGCCACAAGTATTCTCTTCTCATCCCGGCAGCAAACATACCAAAACAAAGCAAGCAAATAGCAGTTGGCTGTCCTGACAAGCCTGCCAGTGACTGCTGCCTGGGGCAGCCCCCTCCCTTTGTCTAATAGTAAGTCTGGTCCTGGTTCTGCACTGATGGGAAAAGAGGCTGAGGCGGGAAATAGTCATGGGAAAAACATTCAGTGCCTTCTCATGGGCAGCCCCTGTGCTTTCCACTAAAGTGGGATGATTGTGAAAACAGGCAGGTTTCCTTTTAATGGGCATTCTAAAAGGATGGCCTTATGTCTGAATCTAGAGGATAGTCCTCTGTTTAAAGGCACCTTGTCTTTGAAGGGGTGCCCAGCCCAAGAGCAGTCTGAAGCTAAAGAGCCGTAAGGATGATTTGCAGAGGGCTGTGAAGTTGCCTGTTCTTTTATTACATTTATATCCAATGATGTTCCCTCTTGCAAGGAATCCAAAGTGTCTTACATAGTCCTGTGCCTCTCCATTTCCTTCTCACAACAGACCTGTGGGGTAAGTTAGGCTGAGAGTCAGTGACCAGCCCAAAGTTTCCCTAATTAGTTTCCCTACTGAATGGGAACTAGAACCCAGTTCTCCCAAGTCCCATTCCAGTGCTCTAACACTATGCCACACTGGCTCTCACAAGGCATCTTGGTCACAGTCTTCTCCAATTTATGCTGAGATGTATTTCTTTTTAAGTTATTGGGCTGGATCTGATTCCAGACCAAGTTAGTTCAGCTTAGGTCCCACTTAGGTTCAACTTGCATCCAGATGAGACCCCCAGGTTGGAAGGCACTCAAGCAGCTACTGGGAAGAGCAAAGGACAAGTATGAATAGCTCTGTTGTCAATGTCCCAACTTGATCGAAAGAAAGTTTAGTGGCTGACACACATGGAGGCAAAAGGAAAGTCCAGACCTCCCCTGCAGAGGAAGGCAGGATGCGCTCCAACGGAGCAAAGCTCAGGGAGCCAAGGTTCCATTTGGATGCCAGGAAGCACTTCCTGACAGTCAGGACCCCGAAGGTGTGGAATGGGCTTCCCCGGGAGGTGGTTGAGGCCCCATCGGTGCAGGTGTTCAAGGATAGGCTGGATGTCCATATGGTGGGCATGTCGTGAGCAGAGCCGGCTGGTGCCGGAGGTCAAACTAGATGGCCCGGGAGGCCCCTTCTGACTCGCTCTGTTTCTATGTTTCTAAGATATACACTACAATGTTCCTGCTTGTTCTATCCAACACATACCATTGAAAAATGAATCAAGTCAAACTGTCTGTCTGGATCATATCAGTAAGAACTTGTGGAAAGCTATCAGCATAACAATAATTCAAGTCTATGTTTCAACAACAGATGCTGATGAAGAAGAAAGTGATTTTTTTATGTAGGTGTTCAAAAGGAAATTTGTAACACACCAAAGCAATAGATGCTGATAATCCTAGGTGACTAGAATGCAAAAGTAGGAAACAAAGCTGATCAAATATTGTGGGATGATTTGACCTGGGGTAAGAAACTAAATAGGAGGACAAGTCATAGAATTCTGTGAAGCAAACAATCTGTTGATTGCAAATTCTTCAAGCAACCGATCAGACTACATGGACATCACCAGACGGCCAATTTAGAAATCACATAGGCTATATAATTGGAAACTGCAAAAACAAGACCAGCAGTTGATTGTGGTAGTGGCCATGCACACTAAATATCAAGAATCAGAGTAAAGCTGAAAAAGATCACCAACAGAAACATGGTGCCAAAATATAACTTCAATTACATCCCAAATGAATTTAAAGTTCACATAAAGAACAGATTTGCATTACTGAACTCAATTGATTGTGAGCCAGAAGAACTGTGGACTGAAACCAAATATGTTATTAGGAAAGAATGCCAGAAGACAATTCCCATAGCAAAAAGAAAAGAAAGCCCACATAAATGCCAGAAGAAACACAATAGTTAAGGATTGGCAAAAAGGAAAAGGAAAAGTTGATAGAAATAGAGTCACAATCTTGAATGCAACTTTTTAGCAACTATCACATAGTGACAACAAGGACTATTGCAAAAAAATAATGCAAAGAAATAGAAGAGAGTAGCAAAAGAGGAAAAACAAGAGTCCTCTTCCAGAAGATTCAAGAAACCAAAGGGAAATTCAAAACTTGATTTGGATTGCTGAAAGACAAATGCAGGGACTTATTATCTGACCAGGAGAAAACAAAGAGAAAATGGAAACTATATGCAGAACTATACAGAAGATATGAAAGGATGACAGACTCTTTCAAAAAGGAATCCTATGAGGAAGATCCTGTAATATTAGAAAGCAGAATGAAAGCTGCTCTGAAAGCACACAGAAAGAATAAGGCAGCCAGAGTAAATAAGGTTCCAGCTGAACTATTGCAAGCTGCAGAGACTGGTTCAGTCCACATCATAAGGAGAAGATGCTAACAAATCTGGAAAACAAAACAATGGCCCACTGACTAGAAATGTTCAATATACTTTCCAAATTGCAAGAAAGGAGATGCGAAGGAGTGCAGCAACCATAGGACCATTGCAGGAATTTCCTGCACAAGCAGATCTATGCCCAAAGTGTTGCAACAAATAATTTTACCATATATGGAATGAGAAATTCCTGATGTTCAAGTTGGATTCTGAAAAGGAAGAAGCACTCAAGATCATGTCAAAATATACGTTGGCCATTGGAATGCACCAAAGAATTTCAGTCTATGCTTTCTGGATTGCAGCAAAACCTTTGACTGTGTGGGTGATGAGAAGCTATGGAGGGTCCTGAAAGAAATGGGGGTGCCTCAACACTTGATAGTCCTGATGTGTATTGTGCCCAAGAAGCTACTAATTGGACAAAGCAGGCAGAAACAGGTGATTCCCTGTAGGCAAAGGCATCAGACAACGGTGTATTTTATCTCCCTATCTGTATGCAGAATTTATAAGGAAAGATGGATTGGGATTAGAGGAAGGAGTGAAAATAGGCAGAAGACACATCAGTATTTTAAGATATGTAGATGATCCATTTTACTTGCAGGAAGTAGCAATGATTTAAAATGGCTCCTGATGAAACAGAAAGAAGAAAATAGTGTAACATGCATTTGAAATAAAGAAGAACACATATGTCCTAGATCCAATCAAGTCAGACATTTTCCTAGAAGCAAAAATGACAAAACTGAGGCTGCCATACTTTGGGCAATTCATGAGACACTAATGCTAAGGAAACTCAAAAGTGGCAGAAGAAAAGGAAGACCAAAAAAATAGATGGATTAACTCCATAAGGGAAGTCACAGCCTTGAGTTTACAAGAGCTAAGCCAGGCTATGAAGGACAGGACATTTTGGAGGGTACTGTAGGGTCACCAGAACTCAAAGATTACTTGATGGCTCATAACAACAACACAACATCCAGTGTGATCTTGTGCATGACTGTTCAGAAATAAGCTGGGGTGTGATCCCAGATAAGTGTGGATTGAATTGTGGCCTTAATTTGGATCCATAATAATTCCTTTTAAATATGCCATTCTATATATCAATGTAATTATTCAAATCTGTGTCCTCTCCTTTGGTGCTGCATTTGCTCTTGGCAAGGTGCAAGTTTCCAGCACCACCCTACATAATACCTTCCTTCTGCATCCTGTTAAGAGTCTCCTTCTCTGATTGACGTGGCTCTCTTATTAGAGCGCTTTTGAACTTAGCTGAGTGGTTACACACAAATGGTTGTAACTGAGCCTCAGTCTCTGTTATTTTTATCAAGAGCAAGCAGTACTTTGAGAAGAGGGAATTTAGGGCGAAAAAGTGGGGTAGAAGGTAGGGAAGCATGTTAATTAACCCTTCCTACCTGTAGTTTTGACACTAAAAACATTCCTTTTTGCCCTATCCCCATGTCCTCCCATAGGGCTTAAATGTGTGGAAAAGACAAACACACATTTGAAAGTTGGTGAATGTGCGAGTGGGAGATTTGGAGCAGAGAAACAGCAGGCAATGCCCTCGGCCCCCAGGTGGTTCTTCCATTTAAAAATGGCATTGGCGTGCTACCTGCTGTTAGTCTGTCAGCTTTCGAAACAATGAAATAAATGCATTTGCTTAAAAGGAATTGTTCATGCTGCGTGGAAGAAACATTGTGCCTTCAAAATTGTGCCGTGTTGTTCCTGTGGGTGTACAGAGGTTCCCATTGGCATCAGTCTGGGAATGTGCCTGAAGCTTCCCATGAGTGCTTCACAGTCAGTCAGTGCCCCACAGTTGGTGCTTCACAGTCAAACACAATGCAGTGCATCCTTTGGTAAACATAAATTACACTTTGGTATTGAGAAATCAAGAACTTTCTGAAACTGGAGGACCTCTCTAGAGCAGAACAAGCAACTTGTCCTTTATTTCAAAATGAAGCTGTTGCAGAAGCACAGCACTAGGAAGCCCCTTGTGAAATGAGGGAAATCCATGTTTCAGCTTGGGCTCTGGTTCTCTAATAAGCAGCTTGCAAGTGCTCCTTTGCTTGCAGCAGCCACCAACAAAGTTAATGACATCTGGGACAAATGAAAATGAGAAGAGAGAAAAAAATAAACTCAAGGCCTTGAGCCACATCTGGCACACTAGAGCTGCTGCTCCTGTCAGCTTTTAGACACTTTGCCTTCACCTGGGTTTGGAGTGCACCCAGGGCAGAGAGCTCAGGCCCTATGGGCCAGCTTGCAGGAAGAATAACCCTCAGGCAATTATGTGCTGGGTGGCAACAGCTGGGTGCTGTAATGCAGAAGTGCACTGCGTTCAAGCTTCAGGATCCTTTTCCTCAACCTTCCAGATCCATCAACTTGATTCTGATTCCACAGGTTCGAATGGGGGGGATTGTCCACTCAGTAATAAAAACACATTGCAGTTTTGTTTTCATTAGCAGAATTAAGGCCACAGTGTTTTTGCTCAAAACACTTTCTTCATTTAGGATCGGGAGGCAGCTCTTGCTGTTATTGTTGAACAGCTGGGAGTCAGAAACTCTTGTTAATCTACTGCAAGTCACCCAGAGATCTATTGGTAGATTCCAATCTACCTTTTACCTACATTTGTGGAAATCTACTGTATTAATACAACTTACAAACATAACAACAAAATCATACAGCGTGTAATGAGAAAAGTAGTATTTTTTAGCTAAGCTTGCATGAGGTTTCAAAACACACCCTTTACTCTTCTACTCCATGCTACACAGTTTCACAAAAGTACAAAATGGTACATGTTAACAAAGGGCTGCAAAGGGAGGGGGAATCTAGTCTGCCCATAATGATGGTGCTAGATTCCACCCCTTCCGATTGTTGAAATCCTGGGGGAAAGGGCTGCTCTTAGCCTGACCACCATCTGAAGCATGGAGTACACAACAGTGCCTTTTTAGTAGTAGTTCCTAGGTTTTGCACATCACTACTCTGAGAGTTTCAACAGGCTGCTACCTTCTTTTTGTAGATCTCCAACCAAGATGCTCCTGATTTGGGATATGATCTGAGTGATGGCTAAAAGCACTTGGCCCTTTGAGGTGTTTTCTGCCGAGGTTCCATCAAATGTTCTACTGATTTGCACAGCATGCTAGTGGTGAGCCACTTTGAAATGTCCCTTGTGGATTAAAAGGCAAGCTTGAAATACTGAGTGTGTATGCATTTTGTAATAGGGTTATATCCTGCCTGTTTCTTACATTTAACTCAGTGTTAAGGTTTACATCATCCTCTCTCTCTTGAGAGGTAGGTTGGGCTGCAAGTCTGTGACTGACCCCAAATCACCCAGCTGACTCCATGGCTGAGCAGGGACTAGACCCCATCCCTGTGCTCTTAAGCACTACACCACACTGTGACAAATGTGTTGTGCATCTGTCTGTGAACTCGTTGCATTGCCACACTTTAAGAGGAAGTGTCCTCATGTCCTTTGCTGAAACCACCCCTTAATTGTTCCCCTTGCCTTGCCAAGAACAGTGCAAGTCTTATATACACCCTTTTGCCAGGAAGCCCACCTGAACTAATCGGGGCTTACTTCTGAGTAGAATGCATGCGCAATTCTAACATATACGAGATTCAGCTACTACACCTGTACAGCACAATCCAGCCCTGCCTTTCTCTCCCCGCTCAGAACTCAAAGGTCCCCGGAAGGTCTGAAGGGCCCCCAGGCAGCCTTTGCTCCGGGCACTAGCGTGGCCTGGCCCTGCTCAGCTTCACCAAGGCGGTGGCAACCCGTGTCTTCAGAGCACGCCTCGTCTCGATTCACTACCGTGGGCTTGCCTTCTGCGGCATCTCAGTCCCCTGCTTGGTGCCAAGGTAATTGGACTGCGTGGGAAGCCCGTATCTCGGCATCCATCACGCTACGCGATCAGTGCTGGTAAAATACGCAGCCCGCCTACGAGCTGACCTATGTGGCAGCCACGCAACCCCCTTCTGGGCCACCCCTACACAGACATGCACGTAAGAAAAGCAGAGCGGCGTGAAACCGTAGGGGAAGCGGGGCGCGCAGACGCCGATCCGCCCGTGCTCTGCATCGCGCCCATTGCGTGCAGGCCAACGCTTGCTCGGAAGGAAGGAAGGGGCAGGGGTCCCCGGGCTCGCCGGCACCCCCCGTCCCCAAACCGCAGGGCTGGCGGCGCACGACTTGCCCCCATGCCTCCCCCTCCCCTTCCGCGAAGCCCCACCCTCCGCCCCCGTGAGGGAAGCCCAGAGCAGCGGGCGGGGGTCCCCGGCCCACCTTTTCCTGGGTCCACTCCGCTCTGCCTTCTCTGCCGTCCACTCGCCGAGGGAAGGGGGCGACGGCCAGCGCCAGCGCCCAGGCCAGGCACGCGGAGGCTGCCGCTCCCCGCCCGCGGCCCCTGCCTCCCGCGGCCATGCTCCACGGCTGCGCTCGCCTGCGAGGGGCCACGGCCGGCGGTGGATCCTCAGCGGGGTCTGAGGCGGCTTCGGGGCGCCCGGCCGAGCGCTTCTGCCTTGCGAGCGAGAGGGGCCGGAGGGAAGCAGCCGCTACCTTTGCATTCGCTTCACTGGCTGGCTGCGCTTCTTCGCGCGCCTCCCGCCCGCCTGCGGGGAATGGAGAGGGAGGGTTGCTCGCACATCCATCCCATGCAGCCTCGCCGCTTATCACTTCCTCAGGGATGTGGCTTTGTCCCTGGCACCATCTCATCAACATCAGGAGGACGGCATATGACTTGCCATCATCCTTGGGCAGCAGCCGCAGCGGGAGGGGCTGCCTACCCTACTCCTCCAATTCAATCTCCCCCCCCCCCCCGCGACACCGCATACAATAGGGTAGGGTTGCCATGCAGAAGTGATGCTTTTACTAGCAAAAAAGTAGAGATGTGCACTTCTTGTTGCCTACGGAGGAGAAAATCAAAGTATAGAATAGTATAGAATAAGGCCATTGGGTTGCTGACAGATGGCTGTCCAGTTGCATCCTGAATGTCTCCAGTGTGGAACAGCCACGACCTCCGGAGGTACTTGGCTTCATTGTCAAATTGCTCTAACAGTCAGGAAGCTCTTCCTGATGTTCAGCAAGAATCTGGCTTCCTGTAACTTGAGCCCATATTCCATGTCCTGCAGTCTGGGAAGACTGACAAGAGCGCCTGACCTTCCTCCTTGTAAAAACCTTGCAAGTACTTGAAGTTCCATCATCTCTCTTTTCAGTCAACACACCCAGTTCTTTCAATCTCCCCTCACAGGGCTTTGTTGCCAGTCCCCAGATCATCCTTGTTACCCTCCTCTGAAACTTTTTCAGTTTGTCTGCATCTTAAACTGGGGTGCATCTTAAACTGCATCTTTCTTAAACCGGGGTCTTCAGAACTAGACGCAGTGCCCAAGATGAGGCCTTGTAACTATGCATTTGGGTTCTCTTCCCTAGGTGCAGAACTTTGCATCTCTCCCTACTAAATTTCATTCTGTTGTTTTCAAGCTAGCACTCCAATTTATCAAGATCACTTTGAATGTTCTGTCTGTCTTCCTGAAGTATTAGCCATCCCACCCAATTTTATGTCATCTGCAAATCTGCACTTCTTCATGCAATTCATTGATAAAAATGTTGAAGAGCACTGGGCCCGGACTGAACCTTATGGCACCTCACTCAATACCTTTCCCAGTTAGAGGAGTTGCCATTGATAACCACTTTTTGGGCCTGATGCCGTAGTCAACCGTGACCCAGTGGACAGTTGTTCCACTCGCAGCTAGTTTGCTAATCAGGGTATCATTTACTTCTTAGATTTATAGCCTGCGTATTTTCTTAGAAAGAACTCAAAGCAGCTTACACAATCCTGTTCCTGCTCTCAAGCTTATCTCCACAACAACAACCTTGTGAGGTAGGTTGGACTGAGAGTCTGTGACTGGCCCAAAGTCATCCAGTTGGCCCCATGACATTATGGGTATTTTGTCAAAAGCCTTGCTGAAGTCAAGATATATTACATCCACAGCATTCCCACAGTCCACAAGGTTGTTAGATGTTGTAAGCCGCCCCGAGGCTTCGGCAAGGGGCGGCATAGAAATGTTTTAATAAAAAAATAAAAAAATAAATGTTAAACCTGATCAAAACATGAAATCAGATTGATCTGGAGGATTGTTCTTGACAAATGTATGTTGGTTCCTACTCGTAGGAGTCCTGGTATAAACATATTAGGTCAAACTTCCAAACAAATATGAATAGAATCCTATTGGCGGGTGTGTCAGACAGTTTGCCTAAATACTCTTGCAACACGCAGCTTGCTGCATCATCCGAACCTGATGAAATGCACAGCAGCGGTGGTGTTGAAACCACATAAAAACTCATTGGTTGGCCATTAGATTGTAAGGAGAGCTGAACCCTTTGCCAGACACACACCCTTGCCAGGTTCAGATGAGATGGCAAGCCATGTGCCATGAGGGGAATTAGGCAAATTGCTAGGTGTGCACCCAGCACTCAAAGGGAAGTATTTTCCCCATCATTATCCAAACCAGCCAGTATGTTAAGCAGTGTGTTATGTGCTGCCTTCCATGTGCCAGCAGCTATAAGCAGGTGCTCTTTTGACATGAATGATGGAGGTGAGTTAACAACCTTGGGTCATGTACACAAGGCTAGATCTGATGTTGCAAGCCACTGAAGCTTCATAAAGGCAAACATCTTTAAGGTAGGGGAAATTAAATGCAATTGAATTAATTAAAGTTAATTGCAATTGTGTAAAACACAGTGAGTCAGAAGGGGCCTCCCAGGCCATTTAGTCTGGCTGCCAGCCCCAGCTGGCTCTGCTCATGAAATACCTACCATGTGCATGTCCAGTCTGTCTTTGAACACCCTCACCAATGGGACTTCAATGTGGAAGCCCATTCCATACCCTAGAGATCCTAACTGCAGGAAGTACTTCCTTGCATCCAAATTGCACCTTGGTTCCCTGAGCTTTGCTCTATTGGAGCACATCCTGCCCTCCTCCACAGAGGAAAACAGGTCTCAACCCACCTCCATGTGGCACCCCCTCACATCAGCCAACAGAATCCCCATGGAGTCTCCTCCAAGCTGAAAAGACCCAGTTCCCTCAGTCTCGCCTCATATGGCTTGTCCCTCAATGTGACCACCATCTTTGTGGCCCTACACTGCACCGATTCTAACCTGGCTTTATCTTTCCTGTAACGTGGAGCCCAGAATTGAACATGATACTCCAGTTGCAGGCGCATCAGAATCTTATAGAGTGGCAGTAACACCTCTCTTGATCTCGAAGCCATGCTTCTGGCTATGCATCCAAGGGCGGCATTCACCCTCTTGACTGCCATGTCACACTGCTGACTCATGCTTAGCCTGCAGTTGACCAGTACCCAGGATCCCTTTCACAAGTGCTGCTCTCCAGCCACTTGTCCCCTATCCCATACTTATGACACGCATTCCTATATCCCAATGCGTTTGTCTGCATTGAACACCATCCTGTTGTCCCTCACCCATTCCATAGTCTGCCCCGATCCTTCTGGATCCACAGTACCTGTTCCTCAGTTGTGGCTACTGCCCCCATTTTAGTATCATCTGTGAATTTGATCAGCAAACAGCAGACTGATCACCCCTTCTTCCAGGTCATTGATGAAAAGATTGAACAGAATTGGTCCCAGAACAGAGACTTGGGGGACCCCGCTCACCACCAGCCACCATCCTGATGGTTCCTCATTAATAGTTATCCTCTGCTTTTGCTCCATCAGCCATGCCCTAATCCATTGGACAGTCCATCCGCCTCTCCCAGAACTCAGTTTCTCAACCAGGATATCATGCGACACTTTGTCAGCGGCCTTGCTGAAATCCAGGTAAACCACAACCACTGCGTCTCCTCCATCTAGCTACCTTGAAACCTTGTCATCGAATTTCACAAGGTTTGTCTGGCAGGACCTGTTTTTGCAGAAGCTGTGCTGCGTGGCCGCCAACCTCCCTTCTCTATTTCTAGATCTCTCCTTATTATGAGCCCCTTCATTGTCCAGGCCTTAAGTGATCTTCCCCCTCCCACAAACACACAAACTCCAGGATGAGTCCCCCATTTTCAAGAATCACCCTCTGTTGTGCTTACTGATGGCTTCCATAGAGGTTGAGAAATCCCCTTGTTTTCATCCAAGAACAATCCTTTTCAGGACTTGAGAATGTTTTGGCGATGTTTGTCTTTTTTGTTATGAGAGCCACAGTATTAAAAGTCTAAATCCCCTGTCTTGCATTCCGTGTGCAAGCTGGTGATTGGTTCCAGCCATAGTCTGATGGACCAGTAACATCTAGGCCATTGTTCCTGAATGCTTTGGACTCCCATCTGACCCATCTTTTTGGCAGGAGTTTCAACTGATCTCTCAGAAGGAGAAAACCCTGGAGGCCCACTGCCTTTGGAGAAGCACAGAAAGAATGATGGAAATGCTGCAGGGAACTGTGATTCTGCCCTTCTTCTGTGTTTCTGATGGAGGCAGCTTTTTGCCTCACCACAGATGAAGCTCTGTACTACATGCTTTTTAAAAGGGCACATTTCCTTTGATGTGGAAGGACTTTGTGCTCTAAACTTTAGACCAGCCCAGGGAGAGGCATCTTTTAAACCCTATTCTATTTTCAAGAGGCCCTTTCACACAGTGTAACCTCCTGCCCTGCTTCTCCTTTTCTACGGTGAGCCTCTGTACTTGCCAATTTGGACCATACTTAGAACTGGTTTTCATGGAACCCTCCCACTTTGTACACTGACCAAACTAATGAAGGTTCTGCAGCAGGACTCCTGGATTCCTACTTGTCTTCCCTCTCTACTCATACCTCAAGGTTAGCCAAGTATTCTGAAAGAAATGGGTAAGCTGATGGTGGTAATTATTTCTTATTTATTTATTAAAAGCTTTTCTAACCCATCCACTACAAGTGTCTTGGGGCGGCCGACAAAAGTGGGCCTAAGAGGAACCCTATTTCCCCTTTTTTGGAATAGCACACATGAGATACTCGAAATTGGTGCGAATGTGTTTTAAACTCTGCATAAGCTCCTTCCCTAGGCTCCTTTTGTTTTGTCACTGAGCAGTAAGACCAGTCTGAGCACAGTGCCTCTGGTAAGGACAGACCTCCCCTGAACCTTTTCCTTCCTCTGCCTTCGAATACTGTCCCCAAACATTTTCGTTTCCATTCCCAAGAATGTTTGGGACTCCAATTTACTTAATCCCCATTTCTTTGAACTCTCCCACTGGAAAGTCCATCTGAGATCAGTATGGGATGCTGGTGTATGTCTATGGCCAGGTTTAAGCACTGGAACCAAGCAAACTAAGCCAATTTCCCCATAATCCAGGTCTCTTCACAAGCTTTGAGGGTTCTGAGTTGTATACTTCTGTATGACTCACACATGCAGTAATTTATTCTAAATTAATATACATTTTAAATTATTCCTCAGTTTAATAGCTTCCCCATTGTTTTAGCTTCTACTTGACAAAAACAACCAAGGTGGCTTGGGATTTGGATTTTATATGCTTCTGGATTCTGAGGTAGAAATTAGCATGGCAAGGTTTATATTCTATCAGCTTCATCTGATAGACCCATAGATTGGATCTGCACAATGCTTGAAGTTTGCAGTGGCTTATAAGACACCCTGGGCTTAAAGTTAGCCTGGGGCCTCTGCTTTGCTGGGAAAATAATTAACATAACCAAGGTCCTGAGGTACCTCCTTCTCCTCAGTCCTCCTGACTCAATCCC